CCGTACAGCCGGCGCTATCTCCTCCGCCGCCGCCCCGGAGCCCCGCCGCAGGTCCTGCGAGGTCCGACTGCCGCAGCCGGTTGGCTCGCTGTCGGACCTCTTCAATCGCGACTACAAGAGCAAGAAGCCAACGAATCGGAACGCCGACATCCGTTCCGAAAGTGCTGGCGTCGGAATCGAAGAGAGCGAGCGCGGCGAGGCGGTTAGGGTTTCTGGCGATGAAGACGGGGAGGGGAAGACGATGAAGGAGTTCATAGATCTCGAATTTCGGAGCAGGAAGGGCGCGGGGAGAGATTTCAAAGACATCGCAGCGAGTTTTCGCGGCGCGGCTTCCGAATTCAGCAAGCGATTGATAAAATGGAAACGGAAGCTGAATCCGAAGAGAAACCACCGCCACAGCGACGTCGCCGGCGCCGACTTTTGTTCGGTCGAAAAACTAGGGTTTAAGTCGTTGCAGGAGACGCAATCGGAGGTTGGAGAGTACGGTTTCGCGTTAGGTAGAAGATCGTGCGACACTGATCCGAGGTTATCCGTTGACAATTCGCGGTTTTCGTTCGAAGCTCCTAGAGCTTCCTGGGATGGTTATTTGATTGGGAAAGCATACCCTAGGGTTTCCCCCATGGTTCGTGTTGGTGATAGGGTTTTGGTCGAGGAAGAAGAAGAGGGAGACGTGAGTTTGGAGAATGGTGAAGAATGCTGTCCTGGTGGTTCTGCTCAGACGAAGCATTACTATTCCGATTGGCATAGGAGGAGGAGGAGTTTTGATAGATCAAATTCTCGTAGGAAGTCGATAATGGGAGACGTTGATGAATTGAGAGTGATATCTAATGCTAAGGTTTCTCCAGCTACAACTGAGTTGTTCTATGGGGCGAAGGTGTTGATCACTGAGAATGGTTTGAGGGATATGAATTTGAAATCGTCTGATAGTGTAATGGGGTCTGGTTCCAAGGTTGATGCTTGTGATGTTGCAATTGAGGATGGGCAACAGGGATTGAACAAGTTTCACAAGTGGGGTAGGTTATGGAGTAAATTGGGGTTATTGCAGAGGAGAAGGGAAGATATGTTGGGAGAAGGTGATTACGGTGGTGGGGATGTGGTTAATAAGCCACTTGCAGAGTCTTGGCAGAAGCTGAGGAGGGTGGTTAACGGTCAAGCGAGTGAGTCAGTTAGCCAGAAGCTTATTCGTAGCTATAGTGTTAGTTGTGGAAATCCTTGTAGAACTTCAGGCTTAGTCAATGGCTTTGGGGGTTCTGCGACTAAAGGCCATGTTTTGAATGGAAGGCAGAAGTTTATGCTTCAGAAAAACCGGAGTATTAGGTATTCACCAAGTAATGTTGACAGTGGCTTGTTAAGGTTCTATTTGACACCGTTGAAAAGCTATAGGCGAAGCAGGTCTGCAAAGGGTAGCTTAAAGAATTCAAATTCAACGGCCAGAAGTTTCTTCTGAGGCGGTAACTCATTGAAGTGTATCTGGGCTGTAAAAACATATATAATGAAATTGATTTTTGTCCTTGATACAAAGTACTTCACATTGTTAGAAAACATAACATTGGAAAGATAATCAGACTGGTTGTAATTGTTCTGATGTTGGTAGCAGAATAAAAACATTTATAATAGTAATCTTACAGTAATTTTTGACTGCATCACCCTTTCGAATGAAGTAGTCTGCTTTCAAATGTAGTCAAGACGTAGGCAAAGTTTGTAAAGCCTCTCAGATAGCAGAGAGTATTAATTTTTTTCCTCCAATTTGTGGTTCAACTATGCAATTGCTATGGATGCATGAAGAAGTAAAAGCTCTTGTAAATCTATATAACTGCTATGATTATCAGCCAAATTTCTTTATTCTATTATTTAGCTTTTCTCTTTATTTTAAATTAAATTTATAGGCTTTAAATGAATAAATGTTCTTATTCTTGTTGTATGAAATTGGGATTAGAATAAACGATTGGGATTAAGGCTTTATATCTCTTGATGTAATAGTGAGGGATGATTATGATAGTTTCAGACTACCTATTTAACATCTGATTAACCTGAAATTAACATTGGTTAGAATAAATATGAGTTTTCTGTTATATAGATTGTCGTCACAAAAAGATGACTAGAGGTGTTCACCCTATTTCAGCTCATCGTCATTGAATTATTATAATCGTGTGTTAGTGCCATCTCCCTTCTAAATTCCGTTTCGCATTGAATTTATATGGTGCTTGGATATTGGTTTGAAACGGGCTTAAACTAGAATTTACGACAAGGTCTTTTCACGTTTCATTTTACTGTAACGGTTTGGATTTAGTAATCTGGCTTCATGACTTACGATGTCAGGTTGTGTGAGGAAAGGTTTCGGACAGATTTATGAAGTTGTTTTATATTCACTCCACGGGTCTTTTTCATGATTTANGAATCGAAGAGAGCGAGCGCGGCGAGGCGGTTAGGGTTTCTGGCGATGAAGACGGGGAGGGGAAGACGATGAAGGAGTTCATAGATCTCGAATTTCGGAGCAGGAAGGGCGCGGGGAGAGATTTCAAAGACATCGCAGCGAGTTTTCGCGGCGCGGCTTCCGAATTCAGCAAGCGATTGATAAAATGGAAACGGAAGCTGAATCCGAAGAGAAACCACCGCCACAGCGACGTCGCCGGCGCCGACTTTTGTTCGGTCGAAAAACTAGGGTTTAAGTCGTTGCAGGAGACGCAATCGGAGGTTGGAGAGTACGGTTTCGCGTTAGGTAGAAGATCGTGCGACACTGATCCGAGGTTATCCGTTGACAATTCGCGGTTTTCGTTCGAAGCTCCTAGAGCTTCCTGGGATGGTTATTTGATTGGGAAAGCATACCCTAGGGTTTCCCCCATGGTTCGTGTTGGTGATAGGGTTTTGGTCGAGGAAGAAGAAGAGGGAGACGTGAGTTTGGAGAATGGTGAAGAATGCTGTCCTGGTGGTTCTGCTCAGACGAAGCATTACTATTCCGATTGGCATAGGAGGAGGAGGAGTTTTGATAGATCAAATTCTCGTAGGAAGTCGATAATGGGAGACGTTGATGAATTGAGAGTGATATCTAATGCTAAGGTTTCTCCAGCTACAACTGAGTTGTTCTATGGGGCGAAGGTGTTGATCACTGAGAATGGTTTGAGGGATATGAATTTGAAATCGTCTGATAGTGTAATGGGGTCTGGTTCCAAGGTTGATGCTTGTGATGTTGCAATTGAGGATGGGCAACAGGGATTGAACAAGTTTCACAAGTGGGGTAGGTTATGGAGTAAATTGGGGTTATTGCAGAGGAGAAGGGAAGATATGTTGGGAGAAGGTGATTACGGTGGTGGGGATGTGGTTAATAAGCCACTTGCAGAGTCTTGGCAGAAGCTGAGGAGGGTGGTTAACGGTCAAGCGAGTGAGTCAGTTAGCCAGAAGCTTATTCGTAGCTATAGTGTTAGTTGTGGAAATCCTTGTAGAACTTCAGGCTTAGTCAATGGCTTTGGGGGTTCTGCGACTAAAGGCCATGTTTTGAATGGAAGGCAGAAGTTTATGCTTCAGAAAAACCGGAGTATTAGGTATTCACCAAGTAATGTTGACAGTGGCTTGTTAAGGTTCTATTTGACACCGTTGAAAAGCTATAGGCGAAGCAGGTCTGCAAAGGGTAGCTTAAAGAATTCAAATTCAACGGCCAGAAGTTTCTTCTGAGGCGGTAACTCATTGAAGTGTATCTGGGCTGTAAAAACATATATAATGAAATTGATTTTTGTCCTTGATACAAAGTACTTCACATTGTTAGAAAACATAACATTGGAAAGATAATCAGACTGGTTGTAATTGTTCTGATGTTGGTAGCAGAATAAAAACATTTATAATAGTAATCTTACAGTAATTTTTGACTGCATCACCCTTTCGAATGAAGTAGTCTGCTTTCAAATGTAGTCAAGACGTAGGCAAAGTTTGTAAAGCCTCTCAGATAGCAGAGAGTATTAATTTTTTTCCTCCAATTTGTGGTTCAACTATGCAATTGCTATGGATGCATGAAGAAGTAAAAGCTCTTGTAAATCTATATAACTGCTATGATTATCAGCCAAATTTCTTTATTCTATTATGTAGCTTTTCTCTTTATTTTAAATTAAATTTATAGGCTTTAAATGAATAAATGTTCTTATTCTTGTTGTATGAAATTGGGATTAGAATAAACGATTGGGATTAAGGCTTTATATCTCTTGATGTAATAGTGAGGGATGATTATGATAGTTTCAGACTACCTATTTAACATCTGATTAACCTGAAATTAACATTGGTTAGAATAAATATGAGTTTTCTGTTATATAGATTGTCGTCACAAAAAGATGACTAGAGGTGTTCACCCTATTTCAGCTCATCGTCATTGAATTATTATAATCGTGTGTTAGTGCCATCTCCCTTCTAAATTCCGTTTCGCATTGAATTTATATGGTGCTTGGATATTGGTTTGAAACGGGCTTAAACTAGAATTTACGACAAGGTCTTTTCACGTTTCATTTTACTGTAACGGTTTGGATTTAGTAATCTGGCTTCATGACTTACGATGTCAGGTTGTGTGAGGAAAGGTTTCGGACAGATTTATGAAGTTGTTTTATATTCACTCCACGGGTCTTTTTCATGATTTAGAATACTTATCTTTATTTCTCCATCCCTGGTTCATTCTTTACAGTGAAACTAGATTTAAAAGCACGAGTGACAGTGACAATGAAAATAATAAAATAGATATTCATGAATTAATTATAAAATAATTTGGACAGATAGAATATTTTGCGGTTTAATACCTATTTTGGTCCCTCTTTTTGTAGGGTCTGTTCAAAGTTGTCCTCTTTTTTTTTCAAAAGTTCACTAACATCTTACTTCTCGCAAAAACGATGCACGTTAGTCCTTTTTGGTTACGGCGTTAAAAAGACTAACGGCACAGCTGTCCAGCTGACAAAAAACTGATGAGTTGTACAGTTTTGGTTGACGTGTTAAATTGAATTGTTTATTCATCCTGAAAGCAAAAGGATTCATTGCTTATTTAGCTCATCTCCATTTATGGTCCAATCAAGTTTTCCATCAGGTGAGCCCCAGTTAGTGAAAGTAGAGACCTTTGGAGAAGGAACCTCAGAATGATGGTCCACCATGCTTCGCTCGATAAAGCTATGGCTACGCTTAACAAAGGCAGCAGCTCTTGGATTCAAAGCCATCGAGGCTCCTTCAGCAGATGAATCAACCCTGAAGGATCTTGATCCAACCATGTTTGAGGTGGAAAGGCCCGAGGAATAGCCCCCCAGCTGCTGGTTCATATTTGAACGCATTTGAATTCCAGTTGGAGATTGTAACTGAGGTCCTGCAACATCAAGTGAGATTCCATGGAATTTAGACAAAATTGATTGTTCAAGAGATCCAAAGCTATCATCAAGGTTTGATGGCTTCACCCCTAAAAGCCTGTTTAACTCCCCAATGTGATCACTCATAGAAACACCAAAAGATGGACTATTAGGCATGGAATTTTTCTAGTTAGGAGAGGAAAGACCAGACATGTCATCCATCATCAGCTGTTGTCTACGCCGATGAGCTTCCAGTCCAAGCAGTTCAAAATCCAAATCAATGTCTCTTGCCGTTGAAGCAGTCTTCAATTTGCTTTTGGGAGCAGCAGGGTGGGGAGCCGCAGGAGGGATTTGTCGCCCCTCCCTACATTGTATTTCTAAACTGTTTGTTTGTTTTGAGTGCGTAAGGGCAGGGAGATAGGGCACGGCGTAGTAGCGCAGAGGGGAAAAGGGAATTAGGGTTTGAGTGGAAAGGGGACTGCCACGTGGCAGTCTCTTATTAGCTGAACTTGCCAACTAATTGGACTAATTGGACATGTCATTTAATTTTGGCCAGCAGAGCAACTTTGCCGTTAGTTTTTTAATGCCGTAAGCAAAAAGGATCCACTTAAACTGTTTTTGCGAAAAGTAGGATGTTAGTGAACTTTTAAAAAAAGGGAGGACAACTTTGAACAGACCCTACAAAAAGAGGGACCAAAATAGGTATTAAACCAATATTTTGCACTTGTAGGCATTATTTATATTAAACCCAATTTTAGTTCACGGGATTCAAAATAAAATCATGTAATTAAATGTATACATTGTGTTGAATGGCCAGAAACTATTCATTGTGCATCCCTTATCAAATAATTCATATTTGTATATATTTTAGGTTTAATGTCTAGGTAGATCCCTATTTTGGTTCGGAATCTCAAATAGATTTTTTTTCTTTTTGACGTCTCAATTGGGTCATTGTTTTTGTAAAATTGAAGCAATTAGAGGCCTGTCGACCATTTAAATTTGGGTTACGTGGTCAGTGTATACATTAATTACACGTGGCATTAAAAACGAGTTTTATATTAAACATTTTGAATGCACAGAGGTGAAATCAGTTTTAGGGAAGGGCAAAGTAGGAAAATTAAAAAATTTAAGTGCAGCCCCCTTTAATTCAGAAATGCAAATGAGATTGGAGAAAAAAATTAGGATTGTGAGGGAAACAATCGTGTTCTTTCTTTCTTTGTTCTTTACAGGGAGAAGGAGGATTGTTGTTCAGATGCATGGAAATCCGAGTTGGGACTTGGGGTGTTTGATTTCCCATGGCTGAAAGATGATGTGAGATGTAAATCAGAGGAGTACTTTTTGGATTTGAAAGACAATTTCTCATTGTTGCTAGAAGAAGAAGACATGTCTTGGAAAGGTAATTCTAGTGTTGATTTGTTGAAGGCATATGGTTTGTTTGAGAGTCACATTGCATGGCAGCCATTTGAGATATACATTAATGGAGTTAGATGTAAAATATTTAATATATTAATTAGTCTCAGTCCCTCTCATTCTTCATCATTTTCTTCTTCTCTTTTTCCATTGTAATTTAAATCCCTTCCTTTCTACATGGATATCTGGAAGACATTGTCACTTTCCATTCATTGTCCAAATTAAATTACATGAACTATGTTATCAGTTAAATCTAGAGCTCATACTATACCCAAATGCATGCCACGTGTGATTAATGTATACACTGACCATGTCACGTAACCCAAACTTAAACGGCTGTTTGTGCAATTTGACGGCAGACCTCTAATTGATTAAATTTTATAAAAACAAGGATCAATTGAGATGTTGAAAAGAAAAGAGACCTATATTTTAAAAGAAGATATGTGTTAATTTGGATGTTAAATAATTTTGAATTGAGAAGAAGGATCGAAGGAGTTTTCAGACTTAATCAAATGAGCACTTCAGTTGTTGGGTGATGGAAGAGTCTCTTGGTTAGAAGACCCCTGAAATTAAATATGCAATCATTCCTAATGTGCTGTCAACTCCCCCCTCATACATTCAATTCAACGACTTCTATAAATTTCGGTTAAAAATGTGGTCGGACTTCTATACATTTGATTGTTGTTTATGTGTGCATTGTTATTGTACACTTTCTATAATATTCTGTGATAATAAGATATTTTTAATTAATAATCTTCTAAAAAGTTATATGTTTCGCTTGAATTTCAATCTTTCAGTTATGTTTGCATTGAATGACAATTTTACAACTTTGCATAAATTGTAATAGGAAAAACTTTATTAATAAAACAAGATAGAATTACCAAAATTACTCAACTTGATTTAACACTGACAATGTCAAAATAAAACACGACAAGATAACTACAATAATAAGCCTAACACAAGGGAAATTCCTTGGGCAAACACAGACATACCAACCAACGAAGATGAACAGACTGATTATTCCTTCCTTTTATCATCATTCAGAGTTTTATCAAACACTTTACAATCAAAATGCCACTTACTTATTTACCATGCAGCATACATAAGATTCCTAACACGTACTTCAACTACAGCCTCAGAATCAGTTCATGTATCATGGGAATGACATTGGCATTCATTCACTGTAAAGCGTACAGTTATTCAACATCAAAACCCTTCTTCTTTAGTTCAGTTGCGACCTCATTCTTCAGTCTCAACCACAGCTTCTGAGCTTCCTCATCAAAATTCTTGTTCTGCGTCTCCTTCTGGTTATTATAGTTCCCATCCTTATCACTCTTATCCATCCCTTTTGGACTAAAAGCGTCTCCAATCATCCTTCCCTTGCTGATGAAATCCTTCAATGCTTCTTCGTGCTCCTTCAGCCTTGGCTCCAGTTTCCCCCACCCCAGTGATGAATTATCAGTGTAGAGCCACATGGCCCCAAGCACGGCATAGGTGCAAAGCAAGCCCTTTCCAACATGTTTCAAAAAGTAGTAGTCTTCTCTTTCCAACCCAATGTTTTTTAGGTATTTCTTGGAGTTCATAGAACTCAGCACATGAAAACCTGCATTCAAAGATAAGTATATAAAGAATATGCAATGTAACAATAAGAGAAGTTTGAGTTTCTGTTTCAAACATTTCATCAAACAGCTGATGAGCAAAACATGGGTTCCAATGAAACTTCAAACTTCATAGAACATAAGAAAGGTACCTGTTTTGGGGTCCCGAAAAAGCTTACGGAACATTGTAAAAGTTAAATTTTGATAAATGTGTTTGATTTGGGGTGTTTATTTGTCGATGATAACTTTCAGAATGAAAAGCTGACAATAAAGATTCTTTGGTTGTGGTTGACAATTTCATTTAACATTGAATCTAATGTAAACAACTAAACACGTTGAATTTTGATTTTTTTTCTTAAAATAATGTATTTTGGAAAACAAATTCTCCAAATCCGGAAGACCGAATTTCGAGAAATTTTCTAGCTTATTTTGTTTTTATAGAAAAACTAAAAGAACTAAAATATATTTTCTTAAAAAGCAGGAAAAATTAAAAATAAAATTAAAATCTGAGTAAAATAATTAAGTAAATAATGAAACTAAATTATACTTATTTCGAAAGGAAAAACAAACAAAATATAATTTAAGAATAAGTAATTTTTTTATTTTATAATATAATTTGTAATGATCTAAAAAATAATTTAAAATTAACGATGATTTTTAAAAGATGATTCAATTATTTTATTGATAAAAAGTCAATGATACAAATAAAAATTTTATTAAACGAGTTTCATATGAAAACAACCATATTTTTTTCTGATTTTTTTTTACTTTTTTTTTCAATTCTCTCTTCATTATTTTAAAAATAAAAAATAAAAAATAAAAAATAAAAGAACTGATCGTAAGAGATAGTTTTAATCATTCATCCGATAAAAATAAAAAATATATAATTTTTTGTGTTTATTTAAGATCAATTGTTATTTTGAGTTGTATTTGACTCAAAATATCTCAAAGTGAAACTCTCTTTGTTTGTAATCATAACAATATACTTAGATTTTCTTTTAGAGTTTTATTTGTATACGAGGAATGGAGCTCTAAAAAATAACCTTGAGTTAGAGAGTTTTCTTCTAAAAGCAAGGGGAAGTCTATAATTTTTATTTTACTCAAGTGTAAATATAAATATGTGTGTGATATGTGCAAGTGAGTGAATTGAATGATTTCTTAGTTGGCTTGTCATATGTGATGAAGTGATTTAATTGGTTGATAAGTGATCTCTGTATGCATTAATAAAATTTGATTAAGACTTTTTGATTGTTTGTCTTAGTAAGAAAAATGATTTTTTAAGTATGATGTTATCAAATTGGATGAATGGTACTATATAAGGATATTTTGAGTCAAATATTACTTATTTTAAGGATTGAAGACGGGATAAATTGCTCACATAGATCGTTGGACCAATTTGATATACACAAAAGTTGGAAATTTGATATTTGGTATGGTGTTGGGTGCCACTTAGGTACTGGTAGGTGCCCTTTTGACAATGAGTTTCAGGGGTTCCTAGCATTATATGCCACATAAAAACCATTGGGTGCTCACTTGGCACTAAACTCTATAGATTTGGGGTGTTGGGCGTTACAGGGACCATTAAACCCTCATTTAATAGAGAGCTTCAGTGGTCTCGATGTTGGGCTATGACTTATTGGTGCGGGTGGCAATGGACTGACGCTAAGCACTTGTTCTCATGCTGAACGTGAGTGTGCTCTATAAAAAGATTTTGAAATTGGAAGAAAAATATTTTTTATAATCTATGAATGTTATTATGTTTGTTTGTGACATGAACGAGGGTAACTCAAAGGAGAATTACTTCATTATTCAAGTGTTAGGGTATGCTTTGAGTGAGAGTACCGATTGATAAGTTATCCTATCTCTACTAAACTAAAATTGTAGTTAAGGTGGAGAGAGTTTAAAGAGGTTTCTATAATGAGACTTTGGTTTGAAAGAGAACAAGTGTAACTATGCTTACATTTGAAATAATAATCTTCTCATGATAGATGTGAGTTAAGTGGAACCACAACAATTATTTTTTCTCAAATCTACTACAAAGAATTATATGATAGATGTATGACTTCATACGTATTTAATTCAATACATGTTTTTCAAAAAATTGAGTCTAAATAATGTCAATTCCTAAAAAATTGCTTGTTCTTGATTGAATGATTATATGTAAAATGTATGTGTAACATCCCAGATTATATAGAAGTATATAACATAGTAAGTCCACATTTAAATAAAAGAGATCAGTTAGAGTAGCCTGTAAATAAAGTTGTTAAGCTTACAGCCATCCCAAATATGAGTCGTAATTTAAAACTTAAACGTAAATAGAGTATTTCAAAAGGATAGGAATCACAGAGAAATCCTTAACAACTAAATAGTAATCCAAAGTACAAGAAATACTAAGAGAATCCTAAGGAGACTAAGCAGCAACATCATCTTCCTCCAAAGCCTGCTCCAAAGGCACCTCGTCCGCTTCTGCTCACATCCAAGTGGATGATCATTGCAAAAGAAAAACATACCCAAGCAAACACAAACACACAGACAAGGGTGAGCTAGATATAAAAATCATGTTATAACATCCACACACAATATGCAAATAAAGACAGATACACCACACTTCACACACACGACTTGTTGCACTTAAACTTGACTCGTCCGGACTTAGAATGATTGTCGAGCTATGGCGGGTTATGCACTCGTGGTGGCCTCAATTGCTTTGCAAAGCCATTGCCAATGAGTTTCACCCTACCACACTCACGAGGTTAGTCCGTTATCACTCACCTTGGGCCATACTGGAAGCACCCAAGACTAGGACCTCCTGTTACTCCTCACCACATGGATCAATCCTCTCTACTTGAGAATGAAAGAACATTGGAGCGTCAGGAAAACCCCCAAGATTGAGCTACCATGCAAATCATTCTAAACATTAAGGGCACCACCATGTAACCTCCCTTTGAGATCCATGGAATTACGTCCATCAACCATACTTGTTACATTCAACCACCAAACATGTTTCATACCATCACATACTATTAGTTCAATAACATTACTACCATCATATTATGCATTTCAATCATTCCACACACTTGGTTCACCCAAAACAAGAGCAAAAGAGAAGACTGGACCCAAAAGGGTTCGCACAGCGCACCCTATTAGCAAGGCGAGACAAGATGATCTCGCACAACGCACCCCTAATTCGCCATGCGAATTAACTCGCAACATGCATTAGACTTTCAACCTCTCGCATAGCGCACCCAGGTCGCTATGCGAGAGCCTAGACAGAGACCAATCCCCCTAAAGCTCTAGCTATGCGCCCCACTCGCCTTTCGAATTAAATGGGCAGTAGTCGCAGACCACCACCAGTCGCATAGCGACAGGATTCGCCAGGCAAATCCACAAATAGAGAGCAGCACCCTCTGGTCATTCGTACAACGCACTAACTCGCATAACGAATGACTCAAACAGTTAGCACTCTCTACAGGGTCTTGCTATGCGAGACAGCTCGCATATCGAGTCTGCATAATCTGCAGAACGCAAATTATGTAGAATTATGCAACACACACACTTTACCAATTCTAGGCCCTTTTATCAATTTCTAACACCCCTAATTCATGTATTACACCTAATTACACTTGTCTAGATGATTATAAACGTTCCTACTACAATTCTAAAGTGATTTAGACTCAATTTCTATCCTAGAACACCAAAATCAACAACTTAGGGACCCAAACCCAATTCTAATACTTCTAACTCGTTTTAGACCATTTTGAGATTCGTAACAAGTCCAAATTGACCTATCTGAGCTACCCAAACAGCCCAAACACACCCACAATCTCCAGTACTCAAAGTCACTACCTCACTTCCTCTCATAGTGACCTAAGAACTATAGAAGCTCCAAATTTTCTATCCAACCAAGGTTATACAAATTTCACACTTCACTCACTTCCAACTGATCAATTATAACAATTCCAAACCCATCCAAATCAATTCCAAACATCACAACATAGTTTCATAGATTCACACACGATCATGACAGTACGTACCATTTCATACACTCAAAAACAGCAGAGTATTACATATTTCAGCACATGTATTGTTCATACAACCCATATAAAAGAAGCTAGCTCCCCTTACCTTGAAGTTGAGCAATACAACCCACTAGAATGCTCTAACAGTGCCCCTCACAGCGAGAACCCGAACAATGCCCGACTTAGAATCCGAAACTGATCGGATGGTTCTGAAGCTCTCTACGCTGCGAATGTTNGAAGAGTCTCTTGGTTAGAAGACCCCTGAAATTAAATATGCAATCATTCCTAATGTGCTGTCAACTCCCCCCTCATACATTCAATTCAACGACTTCTATAAATTTCGGTTAAAAATGTGGTCGGACTTCTATACATTTGATTGTTGTTTATGTGTGCATTGTTATGGTACACTTTCTATAATATTCTGTGATAATAAGATATTTTTAATTAATAATCTTCTAAAAAGTTATATGTTTCGCTTGAATTTCAATCTTTCAGTTATGTTTGCATTGAATGACAATTTTACAACTTTGCATAAATTGTAATAGGAAAAACTTTATTAATAAAACAAGATAGAATTACCAAAATTACTCAACTTGATTTAACACTGACAATGTCAAAATAAAACACGACAAGATAACTACAATAATAAGCCTAACACAAGGGAAATTCCTTGGGCAAACACAGACATACCAACCAACGAAGATGAACAGACTGATTATTCCTTCCTTTTATCATCATTCAGAGTTTTATCAAACACTTTACAATCAAAATGCCACTTACTTATTTACCATGCAGCATACATAAGATTCCTAACACGTACTTCAACTACAGCCTCAGAATCAGTTCATGTATCATGGGAATGACATTGGCATTCATTCACTGTAAAGCGTACAGTTATTCAACATCAAAACCCTTCTTCTTTAGTTCAGTTGCGACCTCATTCTTCAGTCTCAACCACAGCTTCTGAGCTTCCTCATCAAAATTCTTGTTCTGCGTCTCCTTCTGGTTATTATAGTTCCCATCCTTATCACTCTTATCCATCCCTTTTGGACTAAAAGCGTCTCCAATCATCCTTCCCTTGCTGATGAAATCCTTCAATGCTTCTTCGTGCTCCTTCAGCCTTGGCTCCAGTTTCCCCCACCCCAGTGATGAATTATCAGTGTAGAGCCACATGGCCCCAAGCACGGCATAGGTGCAAAGCAAGCCCTTTCCAACATGTTTCAAAAAGTAGTAGTCTTCTCTTTCCAACCCAATGTTTTTTAGGTATTTCTTGGAGTTCATAGAACTCAGCACATGAAAACCTGCATT